GCTTTTAAGTGTGCCCCCCCCCAAAAAAAAAAACAAAAAAACCAACAAACCAACAAAAGCATATTTAGTGTTTAGGTTGTGGACTGCTTTTTATACTTTTTCTTTTCTTTCTTTCTTTCTGTCTGTCTTTTTCTTTTCTTTTCTTTCTGTCTTTGATTTGTTTTGAGACAGGATGCCTCTGTGTAGCCCTGGCTCTCCTGGAACTCAACTCTGTAGACCAGGAAGGAATAGTTTTTATTACAAAGAGAAAAAAAAAGAAAAGAAAAAAACTAAAGAAAAGATGTTTGAGCTGCTATTGCTTGATTTGAATTCCTTGTCTCATAAAAATGGAAAAAAATACTAAAGTACTTTAAATGTGTTTAAATATCACAAATGTAACTTTCACTTGCTGGTTCCTCAGCATATTTGATAGAAGCTTATTAAGAAAAGGCACAGTGCAGCAAGAGTGAGCTAGAGCCAAACATCTGGAAAACATAGGTGATGAACAGGAGCGTTATGTTTGCTCAGCTTTGATGAGGGACATAGCAAGTTTCAGCCCCGGAGTCATATTGCTACCAGGGTTCAGTGCAGTTATGGTTTTGTTTATAATGTTCAGGCTTTAAACTGTTCTGATGTTTGGAAAGTCTAAAGCATGGCTGGTTTCTGGAGGAACGTTCGTAAAAGGAAGAATGAATCTTAGTTCCTTCAGAATGAAAAGAGAATGTAGCTATTACCTCCCTGAAGTGTAGCCAGCCCTCACCAGGATTTACCAGGGTCTTTATTTTGGTCCCCAGATTACCAAGCGAATACTTATTTTCTTACCAAAAAAAGCTAAATGAAGTTCTCCGTGAAAAACTTACTTTAATGAACTGTTTATTTTGTTCATTTGTTTAGTTTTGTTTTCTGAGACAGGGTTTCTCTGTAGCTTTGGAGCCTGTCCTGGAACTAGCCCTTGTAGACCAGGCTGGCCTCGAACTCACAGAGATCCGCCTGCCTCTGCCTCCCGAGTGCTGGGATTAAAGGTGTGCGCCACCACCACCCAGTTTAATGAACTGTCTTTATTTCAGTATCTTAAATAATGGCGAAGAAGAAATATTCAACAGCGAGTGTGAGTATGCAGCCAAGAAGAGGAAGAAGGAGCATTTCGGAAACGACACAGCCGCTCACAGTAAGAGTGCTTTCGTTGGTTTTATCATCTTATTTGTGGGATATTGATGTTGCCGTAGCGGAGTGCTTGGCAGTGCTCTCTAACGAGGGTGATGGAGGTGTGCAGACAAGCTCTGCGCTCAGTGCTGCCCGTTTCTCTGGTAAGCAGCCTGCCTGTCACTCAGCTCGCTGTTGGTAAGGTCTAGACAATCAAAGATGGCGGCCTGAAGCCCGCCTCTGCATCTGAGGATGCTGCCCACAACTGAGCGCCTCCTAGACAGAAAGGCCCCTAGGAGGGTCCGTTTAGATATGGGGCTAATTGGGGAGTATGGACAGGAGCCAGAAGTGGGCAGGACTAGGGTGAGGGGTGGAGGGCGTGAGGAGTCTGTGGCTTCTGTCACAGCCCTGCCCACCTTGGCCTATGCTGTGAATACCTGCTAGGATGTGAAGAACGCAGACACAAGGAGAGGCTTCACGATCTTAGTTATGTGTGCCACGTGTGGCCATAACAGCTAATAGAAGACCAGAACCTTCTGTTAGGTGTGTAATGATACAGAGATAATATTACAGAATTTTATAAGCATGTATATTTGATATAACACTTTTCTTCTAAGTTAATAAGATGTGTTACTATCAATTTTTTTTCACATAGAGGTGTCTGAGCAGTTAGGGAATATAGTGCCTGCCCTTCACTGTATAAGCTACGCGCTACTATGATTCATGAGCTGGGAAAGGGGCCTGGAGATTTAAACACACAGAGACACGGGTTATCCTTGAAACAAGAATGCTTCCTTTATTGTTGGCTTATATAGGGCTCTGGCCACGCCCCAGCTCTCGGGATCTTTCATCTGCAGGTCCACCAGAAACCACTCCCCTGCCGTCAGGGTCTTGTGGTCACAGCAGCTGCAGGCTGCACAGAGCAGAGGAAAACAAATTGTTTACAGGAAAGTCAGTGTCTGGTGGTCTGCAGTCCCCAACAAGGTGATGTTAGGGAACAAAGTGTACTGTGTACACTCACCAAGCAGAAGCACCTCTTGGTTGGAGCAGTGAGGTCATCTTGTTCGTCTGTCCTGCCTTCCAGTTTCCTCAACATCTTGAGGTTGAAAGGATTTGCCAGATTTCAAGGGCCTTTCGTCTTTGTTCTAGGTTTTTATCGTGAGAAATGGATCTATGTTCATAAAGAAAGCACAAAAGAAGTAAGTATGCTTTAGAAGAGTGTGCTGTATTGTTTGTGCTGAATATGTCCATTAGTTTAGTTCTTCAGTGACGCTATAGTGAGTCTATAGCTCTCATTTGAACAGATGAATATGTATCTGACAGCTTTTTGAATCAGTGGCTATAATTATGTGCATGTACATGTATGTATTCATTGATATGTGCATGACTGCACACTGGGTATGCACACTGTGGTATAAGCATGTGTGGTGTTAGATGTATTTGTGGTATATAGTGCATGTAGTATGTTTGTGTTCTATAATCTGTGTGGTAATTGTGTAATATGATGGATATGTATATTTGCATGTGTATGGTGTGTGCATATATACACGGCATATGCTGTATACCTGTGAGTGCTATGTTGTATATTTGTATATGTAGCATATATGGAATATGTGATATGTGCATGTGTGTGGTATATGGCATGTTAATGTAATGTGTGTGGAATAAATGCACATAATATGTTCTACATATGTGATATGTTTGTAATCTGTTATGCATGGACTATGTGTGCCACACACACGTGTGTGGTTGTGGTGTTTGTAGTGGGTGTGGTCCATGAGTTTGGATGTGTGTGTACTTTTGATCCCCATGCATCTTTAAATCAGCAGGGGTTCATTAAAACCATGCATACATCCCTGTGTGTTTGATCCTTGTTCTGGCAGTGTTAACTGCAGCTGCGGGTGAAGTTTTCCCTTTACCTCATGTGCTTGGGGACTAAGATGCCCATGAGCCCCTCCTTCCAAAATGCATAGCGGCTCCTAGGAAACCACCCAGGTCGGCTCTGCAGGACACTGTGGACGTTTTCTCTGCTTGTGATCGCCGAGCTGACCGGAGCTCTCTTCTGAGTCATCCCACAAACCAGTTGGCTACACTGTGTTTCTTGTTTCTCTACTTAGTTTTAAGTAAACCTAGTTCCTTTTATAGACCTAGAACATCTGCATTTGCTTTATTTTACAGCTGTTGGGAAAAAGAAACTAATAGTGCAATTTCGTATTACATAATTATGAGGTTAGGATTAGTTAAGTGTTCCAGAAATGTTAATAATATCCTTATTTTTTTTTAATTTACCATACTTATTTATTCAGTGCGCGTGTGCACACGCGCTCTAAGCTTTGCTTCCCCACAGCTCACAGCGGTGTTTTACTGTAGCGAATGCTTAGAGAGCATGGGTATTGATGTTCTGTGTGAATGTGTAACTGGGTTGTACACGTTAGGACTGTAAGAGTTGTGTGGTTTCCCCACGTTGCTGTCTCTGCTGCTCTTCCGCAGCCCCACTAACCTGTTTCGTACTCAGAGTCACTTGTCACAAGGAATCTTGTGGTTCCTTACTGTCTTCTAGTTTATCTGCGCCATGACTCTGAGCTGAAAATCCACGCATAGATTTAGGTATTTCAGATGCAGAAGGTAGGGCTTAAGGTCCTTCCTGACCCGAGCTTAAGTCTGTACAGACTGATACAGAAGACAGAAGACCTCTCAGACAGAGCAGCAATATTTATGACCCTGAGGAGAAATTGTGTCTCCTTTTTGATTCCCAAATCTGTGCATCTCATTGCAGCAGTTGGCTTTTCGGCTGCTCCTCTCCCATGATGCCAGTCTGGAAACCAGCCATTGTCAGACTTGGGTCATGGAGCCTCAGGCATCTGTATAGCTGTTTCTCAGAGCTGTCCCTCTAAGACATATATGGTGGTTGAGCACACTTCCCCCAGGGCTGTCAGAACTCCCTGCGGAGACACGCTGCTGGTGTCCAAAACCTGCACCCTGTGGCCTTGTGTTCACCCCACCTTGTCCCCAGAAGCAGAAAGCAGAATGGCGTTTCTTGAACTTCTCTTTGTCGTTATACCAGCAGTGTGAGCAAAGTGTCAGTGCCTCGCGTCTCAGTTGCACACAATTGTACCTTATTTTCATTCTATCTGACGTCAATCTTTAGAACCAATACAGTGCCAGCTATGCTCCCTAGCTGGCATCACCTGTTAGCCCATTTTTCTTGGCTGGTTTGTTGAAATAAGAGCGACGGGGCTGCGTCCCCAACACCCCAGCCGCTTGGCTAGCTCATGCCCGAAATAACAACACACAAACTGTATTCATTTAAAGAACTGCTTGGCCCATGAACTCTAGCCCTTACAGGCTAATTCTCGCACCTGGACTAGCCCATTTCTAGTAATGTTTGTAAGCACCCCAAGGTGCGCTTACCAGGAAGATTCTAGCGTATGTCCATCTTCATCGCGTGTGCCTCAGAGAGCAGAGCTATCGCGTCTACCCGGGAGAGCTGAGCATGGCGTCTCTTCGAGAGCAGAGCAGAGTCTGACCTCACTTCCTCTTCCGCCCAGAATTCTATTCTGTTTACTCCTCCCATCTATGTTCCAAGCCATGAGGCCAAGCAGCTGGTTTATTATAACTTAACCAATG